CTATTGGAAAGATCACCATAATCTTGCTGATCCTAAAGGTAAAAAATATCTGTCAGCAACCCAGTTTCATACTGACCAATTTCAATGCTTTATTCAATGCTTTCAGCCCTGAATAAAATTGTGAAGCACATGATCCTGCTTTTCTGCTCCTATTTCTGAAGGAGAAGAAAATCCTGATCGTGAAGCAATATTGCTTCAAAAGCAAACGTTCAACTACTCGCCAACTATACCAGGTCACTAAGATGATTTCCTATTGATGAAAAAAGAAGCTTATAATGGGCACAATAGTTGCTAAGGCTTTTGATTGTGTTTCACTGAGAGCATCATAAGCAAATTTATCATCTGGGGTTTCTCAATTTACATCATTTGTATGTTAGGTATTCTTATCTGCAAAAATGGCATTCCCTAAGGGTCATTACTCGAGCCTGTCCTAATCGACATTTACACGAACAACATTCCCCAAGCAGAAAACACAACACTTGCCATGCAGGCATAGCACACTGCAATTTTGATCCAAAATGCAACTCTTACTTCAGCCAAACTAGCCTTAAAAACACACAAATCCATTCAGTGGAGTCTTGGCTCTAAGTCTGGAAAATTAAAATCAATGGCCATAAATCTGAGGTTATCTTACTTATAAAAAAGGAAAAGACTGGTAATTACCATCAAATTATTATGCACAACAGTGCAATTTTCTGGAGTAAGCAAGTCCAATATGGTTTGGTTTGGTTTATTTGATTATGACAAAGCACTTGAGGCTATCTGCCTATATTATTGCTATTTATTGCTAATATGAACATATGTGTAATATGAATGTATGTGTGCTGTATGTGTAAGCAAATCTATATATATTCTATGTATATATATAATGTATGTAATATATATATATGAAATATCAAAGGAATATATCTATACATATGTTACGGTGAAACACTGAAATCTCAATAATGTCGACTTTCACTGGTGAATATTAACATTTGCCAGTCACTTGGTGCATGTCCAAAATATTTTCCAAATACTCTTATTTCTGACTTACACCGCTAAATGTCGGCATTCACAAAGTACTAATGGTGAATGTTGAACATATAAGAATATTATATTTTCTTCTCTATAATTCACTTGCGAAAAAACGCACTTGACACTTAAAATAAGAACTTAAAACACACAGTACATTCAAAATGAGAAAGGAAAATAATAGAAGTTAAAAACTTACTTAATTGTACAATATGTGAAAATGAGAAACTAAAATAATATTAATAAAAAACTTACTAAATTATGTGATCCAAATCTTATTTATTGCAACAACTTAAACTGCTATGACACTTTATAATCTCTCTTTTCGACCTACACCAGAGCATATCTCTGATTGTCAACGTACACCGGTGATGATCCGAATGTACAAGAATGTAATGCAATATTCGATCTTTTACTGACGTATTTGGTGAATGTTGACATTCTACGGTGAAAGTCAACATTCTCGAATTTCGATCTTTCACAGTAACATATATATATTGAATGAAGTGAAATTCATAGAAATTGAAAAGAAGTTTTTCTAATATTTGCACAATAGCTGCAAAGTAAGATAATAATAATTTATTTACCAAAGGAATATTGATTATATATCCCTAATAAAATTTGTAGATGACAAATCAAAATGAGGTAACCAAAAGTATTAGAAATTAATTCCCAAAATTGTTTTTTTAAAATGAACTTGATGTATACCTAAAAAAATTAAGGGGACTTGAATTTAAATCATGAAAAAAATTTTCGAAAATTTTTAATTTTAAATCATGAATACTGAAATTTCAAACTTTGAAAACGAAAATTAATAAACCAAGTAATTATCGTCATTGATCGGAAATTAGTTGACTTTTCAAGTGGAAAAAAACCAATTCCTGTTCAATGAACAATAATTAATAAATGCAAAGGGGTTTCATCTTTTACTCAAGTATGATGCGAAACTGGCAAATTTAGTTAAGGCCAAAATTGTAGCTCCGTTAAGGTATTGGATTTTTAGAAAACTTGAGACATTAAAACCAAATTAGAGTACCAAAGTACTCATTCTGAATGTAGCCTTTTTGCTAAGACAATAGATTCTTTAGAAGTTTTGAGCGAATAGCCAAATTATGTAGTAAAAATTACATGATACTTGAGTAAAATGTCTCCCGACACCCTCGCTTTCATGCATGTTAATTCAAAACTATTTTTATAAAAATAATAAGCAGCAGTAATCTTAACTGGATTTATGAAATAGAACTCAGAGTAATTGAAATAAACATAAGAAACATAATAAAAAATGCTATCTTTGCAAAAACAAATGGATTAAAAGTTAAAAAAAGGAAATATATATAATAAGGATATAATGGAATGTACCATGTCCCTCTCACTGATTAAGAAACCAAAATAACTCCCATTAACAAAAATAGCTTCTCAAAGGTTCACCGCCTGTAATAATTCAAAGTGTCCCCACTGCTGATAATAGAATTTTGGACAGTATAGCCTACAACACCCCTTCTGAGTAAGAAACAGACCAAAACACATTACTGACATCCCACTAGAAGAAAGAACGTACTTAATTCATATTCTGGCCTTTTGTATTTCCTGAACATTTCAACATTATACATTTCATTATAGCTTATTATACACTCTTTTGCAAAAAAAATTCGAAGCACATTAAGGAATGGTTGTTTTGATAAAATTAATATGTGTTAGTCATATACAGATAATATGTTATTAAAACATCATAGTACTTGTTCACGGCTCACAATCACCCATTGAGGGTTCAAATTAGTAGTTGGTCGAACCGCCCCTGGTGGCAAAGCATGCTTGAATTCATCGAGGCAAGAAATGGTAAGGTACCTAATGTCATCCTGCCAGGCATTCATCAGTTGTCGCTACAGATCTGTGATATTTTGTGGTGCCTGAATCCGGTGGCCTACCATGCCCCAAGACATGCTCGATTGGTGAAAGGTCTTGTGACCTTGGTGGCCAAGGAAGAGTATCAACCGCACGGAGACAGTCCAGAGATATGCAAGCGGTATGTGGCCTGGCTTATCTTGTTGGAAAATGGACCCAGGATGACATGCCATGAAGGGTAATGCAACTGGCTGCTGGATGGTATCAACATATTGTTGAGCTGTTAAAAATGTATGGAAGATGACCTGCTGTCATAAGAAATAGTGCCCCCCACCATTACACCAGTGGTTATGGCTGTATGCCTTTGTAAAACAAAAGCTGATTTGGACTGCTGGCCCCTTCCTCTCCAGACACGAACACGGTCTTCATCTGCTTCCAGAGTGAAGAGGGATTCATCGCTGAATGCTATACGATGCCAGTCTGATGGCAGCCATGATGATCGGCTGCAATACCCAGATGACTCCATCAATGTTGTCAGGTCAAAGACAAATGTCTTAAAGGCCTCTGTGAGCATAACCCCACCTCAGACAAGCACCATGAGATGGTGAACGGTACCAGTGGAGGTATAGACGTGGCTGTAGTGTGTTGAATAGTCGATAATGATGCCGTTTTGGCAGTTCGGGCCTAGCAAACAATCATCCTATCTTGCCTCACATTTGTGCTCCTTGGCCTTCCAGAGCCTTCATTTAGTCGGCAGTTTCCTTGTAGCAACCATTGCTACCAACATCTTTGTGCAGCTATGTTTATAATTTATTATTATGTTTCTTGTTTCTCGTGTTTGTTTCAATTTCTTTGAGTTCTATTTCATAAATCCAGTTAAGATTACTACTGTTTATTATTTTTATAATGTTTGAATTAGCATGCATGAAAGCGAGGGTGTCGGGAGGCACTTTACTTAAGTATCATGTAATTTTTATTACATAATTTGGCTATTCACTCAAAATTTGTAAACGAATCTATTGTCTTAGTGAAAATGCTACATTCGGAATGAGTTCTTTGGCACTCTAATTTGACTTTGTCTCAAGTTTTCTAAAAACCCAGTGCGCACAAAATTGTGTGTGTTTGTTGTGTGTGTGTGTGTGTTTTTTTTTCCCTTGTTCATTAGTAACAGCATTAGCTGCTTATTAAGTGTGATAATTAAGTGATATTCACTAGAAAGAAATAAATGGAGTGCTAAAAATAATTTGAAATGATGATTCTATATAGTGGCTTCGTTGCATGCGCAATCTCTTTATCTGAAATGTTTTCATCTGCTGTAATATGAAAGAATATTTTTTCCACACATGTATTTTTACATGGAAATTTGGAAGGTGAAAATTGCCTATGAATTTGTAAAATTTACTGATTAAAAAGGAATTTCACTGGAATGTAAATAAGTGAAAAAAAAGCTTGTATATAGTAGCTAGCTTATGAGTGAACTTTGAAATCAAATGAAACCGGCAAAATATTTATTTGATTAATTTTTGAAAATACTGCACAACATTTATTTTTCTGATTTTCATGTAAAAAATGTAATACATATTTCTTTTACAAACTGCTTGTGGTGAAATATATATTTTTTTTTTATGTGAACCTATATCACTTTCATGTTTGATAGTGGAACAAACACAAATAATATGCTTGTATTGAGTTGTTTTAGTTTAGTTGCTCTTCGTCATTAAATGTTTGGCATATAATATGGAGCTATAAAGGGCATGCATTTATATGAATTAAAGTGTAATTTTATTACAGGTGCGATGCATAAAAAAATCTAACTAGCAAAACTTTAATAATAATGCCTATGGGTTTTTTTTTTTTTTTTTTTTTTGTTTTTTAGTTTTCCCTAAAAGGATTTTCTATTAAATCAAATTTCTATATCATAAAAATCAACTTTTTTCTCCAAGTTGTTAACTTTCTATAAAATATATTAAGTTTGATTAAGAGTTTCTAGCATAGTCATGGATTCTGATGTAGTATTTGTTCTATTCATCTCATAAGAATTTATATTCCATAAATGCTTTTCTTATTCTAAATAATTACAAAATTTTGAATTGTCAAATTCTTTGATAAATATGTTGTCATGAGTTTCATTTCTTCCATTACAGTTGTAATATTATTGTTCAAAATGAAGTGGTGCATATTGGCTTTAGCAAAGAAGAAAATGAACTATTAGTTCTTGCTCTTCCATCATCTAGGTGAGAATTTTCATTTTATTTATCTTTTAATTATCAGGAAAAATTAAATTAAGTTTCTTATAGAGCTAATTAAATTGGTGCATATTTTTTACAGTGCAACAGTTAGAGAAGTTCAGTACTTTACAGCTAACATAGTTAAACTACTTAAGTTTCAATACTCAACTCTAGAAAAGTAAGTTTTTAAAATATTTTTTCATATTTGTGATCTTATATTAAAATGATTATCTAGGCTTAGATTAGTGGAATTGATTTGAGGGGGAACTTCAAATGCTATTTTAATAAATAGATTTCCTTTCATAGAGTATATGCAAACTGATATACATGTTATATATAGAGAAAACTGTAGAAGTCTTTAAAATTAGATCATTCCCATCCAGATGGATAAAAATGAATATTATTGCATTATTTTACATACTTGGCATGTTTCTTTTAAAAAATGGAATTGTAGTTTTTCTTTTATGGGACAACATAATTGTAAAATAAAAGGCATATGATATATGTGTCTTACGAAATTTCAAGAAAAAAAATAAAACAGATACACTTTACAAACTTTTCAGTAGCAATACTCTGAAAACAAGAACATAGTTATAAAAGTTAGGAGGGATACATTTAATTTAAAGATAGCCAAAAGGCTATAATATCCCTAAAGATATGTTAAAATTTTTAACCCAAAGGAGCATTAGCCCAGAAGGGCTATAATTCTCAAAACGGGATTTTGTGTTGAAACACTATGAAAGTTTGACTCACTTTTCAAATAATTGCCACCAAATACTGTCACCCTGTATTATATTTAAAGAAATTAAATAATCAATAATTTGCATGAATGTATGCATGTTTTATGCATTGTAAAAAACAATGTTACCTAGAGCCATCAAATTTTGAATAACATAGCCCTTCACCTCAATATGGAGACCTGGAAGCCTGAATTTTGAATTTGTTGTATTCTGTATTTCATATTTTGTAAGACTAATGAATTTTTGATTAACAAACTTGGATGATTTTAAAAGCGAGCTATGCCAACACTGTATGGAAAAAAGAAAAACAATCTCCAGCACGTGAGACTGTCTATCAGAAATTCTAAAGATAGGCTGTTTTTAAATATTTTAGCCCAAATGCTCTCGAGATGTGATATGTATGTAAATGAAAAAAAATGCTCCTTTGGGCATAATGTAAAATCTGAAAGCTTTTAGATTTTGTTTGTTCATTTCGGGTCTCCTCGTGAATTCACTTAAATAAAAATTATATAATTAATGGCTAATACCATGGTGTACTTAATATCAACTTAATAGCGGTTGCTGTATAATACAACTTAATTCTTGAGCTAGGGTTTATGATATGGCTTCACAATCCATAATATTCATGTGTACAATATGTCTCTCCTTTCACTCACTGGTGAGAGAGGACTATTAGGATCTGTCACATTATTTTATCTTCCCACCTTAAATCCTTGATTTATATCCACATCAGCGTGTCCGCGTTACGGCAGCATAGGTACCAGTTTTATGAAGGATAATCTGCAGGCTAAATATGCAACAATTCTCTTACAGCAAAAGAAAGAAAACTTGATACTGTTTTCTTGAATGAGGCATAACTTGAGCAAGGCATGCCTGTGCCCAAGGACAGAGAAAATGTTACGTTTCCAATACTTTGCATTGGTTGTTTTTTCTCTCCTCTCATACTGCTTCAAGCACATATTTCACATATGCTGAGCATTTACTTGGCCTTGCATTATCTATGCATTATGCATATTTCAGGCCTATCAAATATGCCCTTCCTGGTGTTGGAATTTTAATGTCCAGCAATATAGTTACTGATGTGTGCATCATTGTGAATGCTAAAAACAATAAATACTATAATGAATGATATTTATACTGAGTTGCAGATCTTTTAATCTGTATCTCCTTTAGTTCTGTATAGGTGTACAACATTTATATTAAGTTCTGAACAAGTTTTCCCTAAGTTTGACCTTCTTGTAGGACTTTTATCTCTTTAATCTCTTTTAATTTCAGTATACATTAACCTTCATTCCAGAATATTATGGAAAATGCACTCATATCCAAAATTATCTTTACATGCATGAAACCATGGATTTCTCAGAAACTGTGAACTGTAATTTTATGAATTTGTGTAGAATGATACATAACATTATAACACATAAATAAAAGAAAAACAAATTAAGAGCACTGCATATGATATAATACTCCAGCATAAAACAATAAAAATGGTAATATATTACAAGGAGATTTCAGAAAAAAATTAAAGCTTATGAATTTAATATGAAATGGGATCTTTCCTGATTTGAACACATATATAACAATGTGTTTTCGTTCTGGCAAGAACACTGTTAACCATATATTGGGGAATTAAGTTCCACTTCTACAGTACTCTTTAGGACCTTTACACATTTCTAAGAGAAGGATCTCTTCCTGCAACTGCTTTTCCAAGGTAGACCAATAAGTTTTCTATTGGAATAAGATTAAAAGATTTTGAAAGCCATGGTATTTGCTCATGCATGAACTTGAAAATAAAATTTAGTTTTTTCCCTCATGTACCCTCATGTAACTTTTAAGTTTATAAAAAGGGCTTTTTAGTAGAAATGACATGAAATGGTAACATAGTAATTATAGTAGTGTTTTCTTATGATTGCTGTTTATTTCGTTTCAGTGCCTTTATGACTGAAGAATACAGAAATCGCATAGAAATTTACTTTGCAGATTTCTTTGAGTATTTCTTAGGCTCAGTATATTCTGGGCAAAAAGGTGTTTCATGTTCTCATACTTTGGAAATTCTGCCAAGTGTTCACTGGGTTCCCCTTCCAGTAGATCTGAAGGTAAAATTTGTATTTTTTATTAAAACTTGTATGTGTGTTAAGAATTTTATATTCTAAGATTTAGATTTTCAGATAAGTTATATCAAACTGCTTTATTATTGTTTGCTTTAAATGGAAATTGCTCATCATATTTACAAGGACTGAGACAAAAAAAAATTTAATTTCATACCCTTGGTTTATACCAAGTTCTGTTACCAGAAATACCAAAAACCTAGAATGCTGTAAAAGAAAACTATGCATGTTGTATCATATTCAAGCCTTTTTTTTTTTTTTTTTTTTTAAATATTTTCAAAAAAAAAAAAAAAAAAAACATTTCAGTTTGTGTACTTCATTTCTTTAAAGCTTTCCACAACCATAGAGGTGTTCCGAATTGGTTTATAGTTTTAATTAGCTATTTTCCCCAGTGATTTCCAAATCCTTTTCTGCTTAGTTTCTTTAATTTCTCTTCTTTGTTAGGTAACATTTGTTGTTAACTTTAGTTGCAAATAGCAGTTATGCATTTTTTAGAAATAGCAATTGTGCATTTTCTAGAACCTTCTTTTCACCTTTATAGCTTTTACACGGCGTCATTTTTCTTGTACCGCTATCAACTACTGACATATGATTTTATTCATGAAATATGCTCATCTTATTACATTGATTTTACCATAAACTTGTGTCTAATTTGTTAACCAACGTTTTATCAAAGTATTCTGATAAGTTCTAACTTGCCTATAAACTATAATGTTTGAATTTGTAGAGTTAGAATATTTCAGTTTTTCTGTAAAAATTTTAAGTATATTACTTGGACAGAAGACTATCTGTCCACTTATTGATTTTGTATTCAGAAAATCATTTAATGGGCCATTGAGGAAAGTTAGTTTATATATTTTCGTATCATATTTTGCATGTAAATAATCAGTTAAGAGGCTTGAAAGCCTTAGGGGAGAAATCTCATAAGGAAGGCCACTCTTGATCTGACAATGAATCAGAAAGCATTTACGTTAATTTTGTTAATGTATGCAGTAGTGTCAGGAATAATTCTAAAGCAAATGTGCTGAGCACCAATATAATAACAGAAATATGTATAAATAATTTTTCTACAACAGAGAAATCTATTTTATTCACAACCTGCATATGCTTCATTTCTTAAAGAAGAGGTGGTGTATAACAGAAGAGGAAAGGGGAAAATTTGGGGGAGAGCAATGAGTATGTTATTAGATTTCTTTAAAATAAGGTATATTTTTTCATATGTTATGTTTCAGTTGTTAAAATAGCAACAAATAAAAGCATATATTAAACTTTTTATTGATATATATGATCAACATTATTAAAAGGAGCATCAGTGACTTCCATAGTCAACTTCTGCTAAAGCAGTGAAATATTGAAAGCAATATTTAGTTCTAGTTTTGTATATATATACATTTCTCAATCATGCTGAGATCATATAATTTTCTGGGATATGGAAGATGTTCCAGCTCACTTTAATGTTTGTCAAACTATTGAATGACAGTTCTACAGTGTGAAGTGGTCCATTGTCATCCTATATAGAGCATGTCCAAAATACAAAGTTTGAATAATTCAATAGATCTGGTACAACGATAGTCCTTGATAGCAATTTAACATCAAGACCTGATTCCCAGCAGCTTTCTCTGTTTTCCAATTCACTTTGTCATAAATCCATCTCCTCCTCTGAATGTGAGACAAATGAGATCATGTGCCTTTGAGAAAGCTTCTGTATGCATAAACTGTCCTAGAAATGAGAAAAGGCAGTGAGGAAGAACCTATTACTGAACTTTACTCATTTTGCATCATTCATTGTCCAAGCTATATGCTCATTGTTACCTGGGTTTAGTTTGAGTGCTGGATATCAATGGCTTTGGTATAGCTGTCTGGCCATGAACGTTAATCTTCTGAAGTTCCGATAAGCAGATTTTGTAAAATATGGTAAATTTAGAAGAAATAATGTTCTGCTGTAATTTAAGTAGTATTTGTTTTATGTATTTGGCTGACTGGATTAAGTCTTTTACATTTTTAGGTTATACAGATGTGAGCCAGGATTATGTGGCTATTTATACATAAATAAAAAATCTGATGTGTACACCACATGACTTCCTTGTACGGAATATTAAATTATATGCATTTTTTCTTGCATTTCTTTTAAACTTATTAGATTGAATTAAAACTACTTCGCCGACAGCACATAAGCCACAATAGAATAAATGCATTCTTTAAAATTCACTCTATTTGTTTACCATAGCGACAATCTGGCGCTAGGTTCACTTAACAGTATTATATTTCATTCATATTGTAACTCAGAATGCACAAAATTTATATCATTTAAAGAATTACTAATTGTTGCCACATGTTCTATTCAAATACTAAAATAAAGCTCAAACAATGTATAAAAGAAATTAAGCAAACAAAACAAAAAACACAGTTTTCACAGATGATTGAGTACTTCTCATTCAATTAATTCAGTTCTCACTTCACAACAAGGCAAAAATAAATAAAAACTCAAAATATTTCTATTAAAAATTACGAAATAAATCTTAAACACTTATTTCCTCGAAAAAATTCCAGAAAGGATTAAGCATGATTTAATTCGCAAAAATAAATGAAGGCGTTATCTTTGTTGTTGCGAAGCTAAGTTTCTGTAGATTGGCAACAAATCCACTATTCTGCTGTTTCAAATGTAAACAAGCAAAGGCCGCCATCAAAACATTATGAGGCATAGCTGCACTTAAACAACTTTAAAATTGTTGATAATTCTAAAAATATTGCATACAGATTTACTAAAGACATAAAAACCTTAATCGGAAGATAAGAACAACATAATTCAATCATTTTTAAAGCATAAAATGTACAATTTACAAACATATAAGAGTAAAGAAACTGATATCACTGAGTCGGGTAACAGAGTGGATATGGATATATATATATAAATATATTTATATACGTTTGGTGCGGCCGATTGCAACCAAAATACGAGGTGCACATCTACATGTTATAGCAGTCCTATATGCAAAATTTAAACGTTCTGAGGCTACTCATTTTTGAGTTATGCGAGATATGTACGTACATACGTTTGTACAGATGCCATGAAAAATTCTCTTCAGAATTCATTTTAAAGCAGTTTTATAATTTTTTTGAAGGAAAAGAGTCTTTTATTCTGTCCTTATGTACAGATATCACGCAAAAACATTATTAAATTGCGTTTGATAGTGGCCTCTCAGGGGCTCACTTTTGTGAGTACGGGTGTGGCAATCCCGAGGTACCCTAGCCCTTCAGGGGATCATCTTGGTGAGACGGGCCTCTCAGGGGCTCACTTTTGTGAGTACGGGTGTGGCAATCCCGAGGTACCCTAGCCCTTCAGGGGATCATCTTGGTGAGACGGGTGTCACAATCCTGGAGCCCCAGTGATCTAGCCTGTTTTCCGTCTCCTCTCTTCTTGGCTGGAACTTTTTCCCTTCCCTTCTCGCTTGTGGTTTTTCTCTTCGGAGTTTGGGGCTCGTCACGAGAGACTGGTCAGCCCTTGTCTCTAGTTTTCGAGTGGCGAGAAAACTGCCCACGTGTTTGCCATGCGTGGAAACCCGTGTCGCTGGAAAGGAGGGTCCTGGTAGTTGAGGGGCGAGGTACTGTCCCCAACACACTGCTTTGGCCTCTGCTTCAGCTAAACGGGAGGCACCTTAGTCGTCCTCACGGGTGTCAATCGGCTGGTCACTAGTCCTTGTGTCAGTGGCTTGGGGATCAGTTTGCGTATAGGTCCAGCTAGCCCTAACACAGGAATCTGTGTTCCCTTGTTGGGCTCCGTGATGGGCGGGGCTGTCGGACCCGAATCTTTTCTCTTTCAAACATGGCTTCACTTTTCATCTTAAAAAAAAAAAAAAACCTGACTCAAACGAAACTAACCAAGAAATAGAAATTATTGACAAATCCATTACCAAGAAGATCTGTATCGATGTAAATGCCAAGGAAACTACTGAAAATCCATGCTTCCTTGTTGTCTCTAGTCCTTCTGGTGAACTGCAAAAGATGTCTCCTTTTCTAGTAAGCAAATACATTCACTCATGCATAGGTGAGACAAAGAACATTAAGCGTCTCCGTTCTGAATACCTGCTTATTGATACGGTTTCGGCCACCCAGTCTGCTTTCACTTTTGCATCAAACCAGACTTGGACAAGTACCTATAACTGTGTCAGCACACAAAACACTCTATAAAGGCATGATATATGATATAAAGGCATGATCTCGGAAATCGACCTTATGCTCGTTTCAGAAGAAGAGTTTGTTTCCAAGTTAGCTGACCAAAAGGTTTGTGCTTCTAAGCGGATCAAGATGCATAAGGAAAGTCAGTTGTTCGACACAAAACAGGTGATCCTGACCTTCAAAAAGCCTGATCTGCTAAAGAATATAAAGGCTGGGTATCTGAACTGCCCCGTAAGACCGTATATTCCCAACCCAATGCGATGCTTCCAATGTCAGCGGTTTGGTCACTCTAAAACATCCTGTCGTGGCAACCTGACGTGTGCTCGATGCGTGTCGGTTGGTCACGATAGTGATAATTGCACTGCTGCAGCATTGTGTGTAAATTGCAAGGGCGATCATCCAGCATTTTCTCGTTCCTGTCCAAAATGGAAAACAGAAAAGGAAGTACAGACGGCAAAAGTCACTAGAAACTTTTGACTCGCCTCAGAATTGGTCACACTAGAGTGACACATAACTATCTTCTCAAAGCTGAAAATGAGCCTGTTTGTTTTAATTGTAATGTTTGTTTATCTGTTCGTCATATTTTAATTGAGTGTCCATGTTTTAATAGTCTTTGCCAGAAATATTTTAGTAGCTGTGACTTACCTCTCGACCGTTTAATCGGAAGAGAGGTCAATTGTAATTTATTTTATTATTTAAAAGAGACTGGCTTTTATTATCTAATGTAATTTGTTTTGAAGACTGTGTCTTGAATTTTAATGTGTGCTTTTAACTTGTTTTTATATGACTATATATTTCCTATGCAGAAGCCA